CAGGTGGGCTCACTGCAGTGGTGTCGTGGTGGTAACGTGGGTGCCAGTGTCCTGACAGCAGCCCCAAGGCTTCTTTCACTGTCCTTATTCAGTGCTGCTGAAAGTAACTGTTTTTATTGAGGTTTGCAAGCTGGCCTGTCCCCTGCAGAAAGATACCTTGGCCCTTCAAGTGGTGGCAGTGGCATGGAGGACCCAGAGGAGCTGAGCCAAGTGGTGCTCCCACTGTCCTTTCATGGGGAGGAGGGAATGACACCAAAAACCACTGTAAGATGAAATGGCTGAAACAGTTTTATTTGAGGTCACTGCCATTTCATGGGATATTTCCTGTTGCTACAGGAGTGACACCTGCCGCCACACTTTCAGAGGGCTGGCAGACTGGTGAGATTTGCATTGCAAAGAGACCATGCGTGAGAAGGAAGGGCAGCCTTGGTGTGGCCGGTTTCCTACATCATCCTTCAGACAATATAGTGACGCACTGCGTAAAGACCCTTGTTTACAGCTGTAACAGCTTTTGGGACTATTGCTCACTGACAGTCCTGCAATCAGACAGTCACCTACTTCATGGAAAACCCTACCAGACTGAAAGACAACACATCATATCCCCAGCCCTTCCTGTCCAGCCTCCTTGCACCTCTATGGATGCACGTCATGCCCTTGCACCCTCTCAAGTCGATGGGAGGAAAATGACAAAATCACTCCCTTCCAGCAGCATATGCTAAAAATAATGAGCAGCACATGTGACATTGTTCTTCAGATGACTTAAAAAAACATCCCGTGGGAGGAGAGGGGAGGAGGGAGGAGTTGTCTGTTGTCTAGCAATTTGTTTAGGAAATACCAGTTGTGCATCTGGTCTCAGGTGCGAGAGCATGAGCTGCCCAAAGGCACGGGGCTTGTTCTCGCCTGGCCGAGCATGGTATGAATGTGACCCAAGGCTGTGCTTGTTGCTCTGGCGGGTGCCCATGGGCCGTGGTTAATGGAGAGCGCTATGGGGCGGCAACTCCGGCAGTTTGCTTCAGCAGGTGGGTTTGGTTTGTTTTTTTGATATCAGGTGCTTGCAGGTGAGTCAGGCACGTTCAGACAGTAGTGCCATGCCCTGCTGAAGGGGTTTTTTTTCCCCTGCCCTTTAGGGAGGAGCAGGTCACAAGCACCATGCTCTGGCGGTTGACAGGGCTGGAGAAGGGCCAGGCTCCGGCAGGCGGCAGGTGAAGGTGTCTGGATGTTTTCACAAGGTTGATGAGCCTTACACGTGTAATTTGCTGGTGGAGCTGTGCAACAATGCACTGTGCAGCATCTGTGGTAGCATTTGGCACAGGGCTGATGGGCCTTCTCAGGATGGCTTCACTGATGCCCGCTGAAGTGAAGCTCTTATAAGCCTCTGCTGGTGGCTAACTGGAAAAGGAGAGGGCATTGCTTCCCTTTTTTTTTTTTTTTTTTTTTTTTTTTTTTTACTAGAAACCTGAGCCTTTGGCCAGGAAGTCCTTTGTGCACCTCACACTGGGAACATATGCCCCAGATGTGGTGCTCCCTGCCTAGAAAGCTGGGGAGAAGCAGGGCGATGAGTCAGGGTAAAGCCTCCTGATGTGCAAGGCATAGCAGGTGAGGATCTCAGGTTCTCCTCTCCATAGACACATTTTTGGGTCCCAGCTTTAGGAAAGAAGAATAAGCTCTGTGCTATCCCTTTGCTATTCCCTTGCAGTAAGCAGTACCATTTCCCCCTTTTACAAAACTCCAGCTTCAAACTTTGGAGAAAGTCAAAATCTGACCTTGGCAAAACACTGTATTCCTTTCTGCCTGCATCTGAGACAAAACCCTTAACTTGCATTTCTGTCCTTCACTGATCCCCGGGGACCCTCTTCCTCAAAGCTGCAATGTGTCTGGTAGAGGTAATGGAGACCCTGACATCACCCAACTATTTTGCAAGCATTAGTCACTAGAAAATACTAGAATAGGTGTCTCAGTTTTCCATTTTCATGTTCAAGGATATGGTTATGTCTTGTTCCTCTAATTAGAAGTATAATCTCCCAATGCATATATATTGGCACTCTGCTGTTGCCCTACTCTGTACCTGCTGACTTGGAAGTATGGAAGGAACTTGTATAATATAGTCACACATTCAGACTCCACAAAAAACCCTTGAGTTATAACACCGATGACTCATTTTTCTCGCAAACACATTGTATTTATTGTCTTAGCAAGAATTTGAGACATACATGCATGGAACATACAGCAAAACATATGGCTTGTATCCAGAATAGGCAGTAAAAAAAACCAAACTCATATTGGTACAGCTATATAGCAGATACTTTGCAGAAGTAACAAAAGGAATCCTAGGGGAGGACATCAGCAAGTGCTTGCTCATATAGTGGCACTGATCGTTTGGATCTAGGTCATTTTCCTGAGCTCTCAGTGAATGCTAGCACACTTAATGCTGAAACGTAAAATGATTCACAAAAAGCAAATAGTCTTTGCAGATCTAGGCAGAAAAATACTGTGCTAATACTTTTATAATAATATAATATCCCCATGATAATGCATTTATAGGTTTACTTTTTTTTCATAACCCATCAGTGCTGCTTTACTGTCTATGATTCTATGATCTTTGTGTGCTACAGCTTGAAGAATTGGGCAGGCTCTATGAAGCCTTCACCTTGTTTCCTATTGAATTTCAAAGCAGCATACATGGAGCAGAACACTTTTATTCAAATACATTTCAGCTACTAATACGAATGCTAATGCTGAATTTTCCTGAGAGTCCCAGACAGGCACAATCATCGTTTAGTGTCCTTGATGAAGACTCCTAGACTCCACCAAGCCCAGGACATACAGTGGGAGCCCTTCTGTTGGAGTGGGGGCTGCCTTGGATGAATAACTTTGCTGAGTTGCAGGTGGTGCCAGCCTGGGAGCGGGTGTTTAACCAAACAGAAACTCTTTGCATTTACTTTTTAATACCTGAAAAACCGACCTCTGTACATGTCAGCAAAACATGTTACTTTGCAGTACTAAAACAAATAACAACAATTTTTGAAACTTTATGTTCTCACTGAAAAGGTATTATCTGGCTTAGAGGAGGAGGGAACCGTGCATGTGGCTCAAGCCAATGTCAAAGCTCCCAGTAACGCCACTGGGACGGGGTTAAGTCCTCCATGCAGAAAGCAGGCAAAGTCAGTCAGCTTCTGCTGAGTGACATCAGTCACAAGATGTAACAGCCATACACAGTTAGTTGTGACAGAGTGACCAGAGTTATGTTAAGACAATTTTGCAAAGGCAGATTCAGAAGAGCTAACCGAAAAAATAATTATAAATACAAATAAGAATTCACTACAAGGCAGGAAAAAACGTAATTTGAACAGACCTAGAATTCAGAAAGTGCAACTATGCAGCCTTATGCAATGCAAATGTATTTATAAACAAGGTCAGTTAAGAGAAGGAACTCTGACCATTGACCTAGGAGGTAGCTACAAAATGTTATCAGTTTCAGCCATTTTCTTGCTAGCTTGCACCCATGAAAAAAATACTGTTCAGGATCATGTCTGACATGAATCGACTAGCAGAGTTACTGTTTGCCTTGACAGCGATCAGCATGCTTAATTCAGCTCCTCCAAAGCCAGCCAAGGGTAATAACCCCTCAGTGAGATAGGCATAATGCATCACCATCCACTGGATGGGCTACATCCTCGTCATCATTCCGGAACCGAAATGAAGTTGCCACAAAATGAAATGGAAAGAAAGTACAAGGGCAGAACCTTCACTTGTAAGTACAGTTAAACATACAGAAATCCAAGGCTACTTTCCTGTACTGAATGTAACATTCAATTATATAGATATTATTTCTTCAAAGAGAGGTTATTGCTTTCTTTGAATAAATAACATTCTCAAGAAAACCCGAGATTCAATTTGGATTCAGCATTAAGATCTACTTCTATTGAAGAGTTATTTTGTTACTTATAAAGACACAGCAGTATTGTACTGTTCCCAAGAAATTCTTTGTAATGTTGAAAGAGTCCTTCCACCAAACACACACCCCTCAATATCCATATTTGTGTAATATATATTCATATATATATATATGTCTTATATAGTGCTATACTAAAGTATGCTCCCCCGTGCTGCATGATTTCTTTCATTATCAGAAAACATGTTTTCTTCTAGTTATTATGTGTTTTATGTGATATTATGAGCATTTTTTCCTACTATTTTTTTAGCTTAACAAGTAGCATTCAATTAATAGTTCTGTGAAATACTCATTTCATACACATGGGGTGCACATACATATATTTTTTATATATTATATATATATACACAAATGTATACATATATATATAATATAGACTAGAACTATGCAATATCATGTTAATTCATAAACTGTAATTCTTAGTCCACAAAGCAACATCCTGTAACAAATAACCTTTCAATAAAGATAGTGGTTTACTTAACAAATGAAATAATCCCACCACCAGATCCCTGTCCAGCAGAATCCATGCTTTAGAAAACATAGAGCTGTCAGAAAACAAGCAACTGGCTTTTGCCTTGTGGTAATTGATCCCAAGCTCCAAGACACTGACACTTTTTTTTTTTGGCTTCTTCTCAAAGGTGGTCTGAGCTCCTCCGGTGAAATGTAGCCATGGGACATGAGGACCAGAGAGTGACTGGGGAAACCAGGATCCTAGAAGTCTTCTCAGAGGAGGCTGAAGGGCAAGTTCCATCTTGCCCCGAGTCTTCCCATCGCACGGTGAGGGGCTCTGCCCATCGCCATCTTGGGTTTTGGTTTGGTTTTTGTTGTTTGGTTGTTTTTTTTCCCCACCTGGCATTCATACGCCAATATTGCTGTTATATTCTTCAAAGAAATCCTGTTTTGGCAGCCATCCTTCAGCAGCTACAGGCAGCAAAATGCAACGCAAAGAGCTTTCTTCATCTCCTAGTGTCAGTGAAGTCTCTTGTCCCAAATCCACAAAGCCAAGGTCTTTTCCCACTCTCAGCCCGCCGAGGTGTCGGAGGGGAGCTCACGTTTCCGGGCAAAAGAGCTTTGTCAGGAGGTTCAGGATCTTCTGCGGCAGGTTCCACTTGTCGCCGTCCACTTGTCGCCGATCCTGCGCAGCTGCAGCGCGCACTCCGCCACCTCCTGCCGCTCTGCAGGGACAGAACCGCGTCAGTCACCCGTCCCCACGGCGCTTTCATTTTACTCAGATCTTAGCAATATTGTAAATTTGTATTATTATTATTAAATTTTACTCCTTATTTTTCACTATCAACCCCTCCACTACAAGCAGCGGCTGTACACCCATCCCGTTCTCACGGGTGGCTGCAGCCCGCGCCGGTCCCCGCTCCGGTCCCCGCTCCGGCTGCTGGAACTGGGGCTGGAGGGGAGGGGACGGGACATCGGCCCGGGCAGAGTCCCCTCGGTGTGTGTGACCGTCCCCGCACCTCACCCCGCTCCCTTCAC